AGGAGGAGGAGGGTCACTGATGGTAGTATTAGCACCAATGCTATTGGTATTAGTAGAAGTAGTAACATTGGAAGATCTACTAGTAATAATAGTTGATGCAGTAGAAACAGCTGAGCTGCCTCTACCAGATACCCTTGAAGACGATAGCACCTTCGCGACGAAGGCAACTTAAGGGATGCTTTCAGCTCAGCATCGGTCCCCTTCCCAAATCGAGCTGTGGAAATGCTTGGAGAAGGGCTGTTAGACATGAGATCAGAATACATCGATTTTGTCCAAAATGAAGCTTTTTATCACAGAATACGTTAGAAATGCGGAACGCATGTGACTGTATTTTGCTTAACAAACGGTCCTCTGATGAGACACTTTTAGTCCTCAAACAACCAATTTACTGAAGGATTAAACACATGATACAAGAGACTGATATATTCTGTAGAAGGAAAGTCTGGGCAATTTACCTGAGGAACGGAACACTACTGTCCTTTTGTGTCCTAGTGTTTTGAATCTAGCGTTCACCGCTTTACCCTGATTGCAGGAGAGTAATGGGCACTTCCGTATTACCTTGTAGTTCTGGACCTAGAGACGATTAAGGTTGTCGCCTAGGGACGAGCAGCCGACAAAGATTCCGTGAGGTGGAGCAATCGGTACTGTGTCAGCCATCCTGTGATGGAGTTCTCCGGTCCTTTTTCCAGAAGTTGGGCAATGAATAGCGACTAAACGAGGTTAAAAGATTGTCAGCTGACAGTGGATGACAGGCGAAACAAAGGCAGCACCCGTAAGCGGTTGCGCCGGGAGTGGGCTGCCACAAACGCTGTTCCACTGCTAAACCAGAAATCAGTTCAACTTTTTTCCAGCTTGTGGCCATCTGCTAATGCAGTCTCTCGACTGTCCCACTAAGTTCCATCTTTCGGATGTCCTGATATTACGTAGTCCTCAAATTTATCCCGGGGTGTGCCATTCCGCTTAATTCAACCTGTCTCGATGACGTCTTGGATCGTACCTCTCCAAACGCGGTGATCTGTGGCAGGAGATCTGGAGAGCTCGAGGGACTAGCTTCGCCAGCGACGGGGACTGAGTACTGAAGGTCCAGCGACCACCCCCCGTCATGACGGAGTGTGCTGGGACAGGTTTCGAGCTGACCTCCTCCTCCTCCTCCTCCTCCTCCTCCTCCTCAACGTCTCCAGGTGGGTAGTAACATTGAAAAAGCGTATCCAAACCACCTCATTCTTCCCTTTTGTGTGGGCTGATTTACACTTGAAGTAATGATCCAGTGAAGTGCGTGCACTATACTGGAAGGGTGATCCCCAGGTAACGTGGTCAAATATCAATGTTTTCGTGTCTTCCACGCATACACTCCAATACCCACGAACTCACATGGGACTGAACACACGATACCGGGTACTTTGTGGCCGCAAAGCTATTATGATAGACTCACATACACATCCTTAGGCTTGCGAAATCTCTATTGACGGTATGGATTTGGGCGAAGATGTGGTCCTGAGTCTTCAAATTCGGTATCAACTTATCCAGAGGTACTCAAAAGTGTCCATCTTTCCAAAGTGATATGGCAGTTCGACAGTTTTTGCCGACGATGCCCACTGTGTGTCCCACAGTATGCGGGGCACAGGGACGGGGACTTGCGCCCGTGCATCTGCCGCACTCTCTCTTCCGTCACCCACCTGGATTTCGTGTCAAGATAGAGTCGAGAAGGCCGGCAGGGGATAGGGTGCAGGTGGTCGGCGCGGCTCGATCCTGCGCCCAGGCGTTCCACCGCACAATTCTACGCAGAGCATCTGTTATGGGTGCGCATTCCCGATAACGCCTGCCGGACCGTGACCTGGTAACCTGTCAGCTCTGTCAGCCACCTCACCCAATCTTAGCGTCAACTGGTTTACCGGCTTGGAGAGTCAGCTGG